GAATAAGGAGAGGGGTGGAGGGGGTGAAAAGCTGAGGTTTCGAGGCTGCCTTTTATAGCAAAATGACTACTAAAAACCGTTGGGGGAGGGTGCGGTTTTCATCTGGCATGCAGCCCCACGTCTGCAACCTCCTGCATGCCGAGATGTCGGGGAAATCGGGACAACACACAAACCGCTGGGGGGAGGTGCGGTTTGTCTGTCGACAAGACAAACTACCTATTGAAGGAGCGGTTTCTATTGTCGACGTAGAACCGCTCTATCAACAGGCGGTTTGTTCTAGGTCAGCCACTAAACCGCCTCTCCATGTGATAGTTTTTTCAAATAATTTAAACCGTCACTCCAACATGCGCTTATTCCAAAAACCGCCTCCCCACGTGGCGATTTTCGAAGAATGGTGGTTTGTTTGGAATTTTTCTAGGTTGTGTGGTATTTTTGTAATTTTTTTAAAACAGTGGTATTTCAGGAAAAATTCCGGACAAGCGAGTCAACCTATAGAATAGGTTCAAGTGAGTTTGATTAAAATGAAGGACGTAAACAACGCCAAGATTTAATTTACATTATCCAACGACCCTCAATGCGCCGACACCAAGGTTTTCAAAGCGGTTTATATCGTTTTGTCAGTTTAGCGAGTGGAATGGTACAAACAGTGGTACAATCGGTTTGTGCATGTTCATGCTGGCTTAATAAAATACGACATCCATAGAAAATAACAAATACTCATATTTAAATACAACATCTAAAATCAATACTTAAATGTTTATACCTTAATGCAACAAATTACATCAAATTTTAACTCTATATTCATAAAATATGTAATGAATTCATTTTTTATATATTAAATTCACTAAAATGATATAATTTTGCTTAGAGTTCGTAAATCGATCATGTCGATCATACCGGTGGTGTTCATGCTAGTTTCATGACTGCCAGCGGTTGAACCAGGTTCAACCATGGCCGACACCCATGTCGACACGGTACCACAGTTATGCCGAGTTTGAATGATAATTAGGGATTTCCTATGGTGACTTGAAGTAAGGCGACTTGAATTTTTTTACCTACTATAGCAGGTTTCACAGGTCGCATTACGTAAAAACACAATAGACGTTACGTAATAGTAATGGTTGCGTAATGTATTCTTATCTTGCGTAGCAGTTGTTAGAGGTCATTACGGAAGCCTTAATTAATGGGTGGTCTTCTTATGTAATGAATATTCACTCTGCAATCCTTAAGTAACTGTTCGTAAACTTTACGTAATGAGTTTGTATTTTACGTAACAGTTGTAAAAGTGTCATTACAAAAGCCTTATCTAATGAACGATCATTTTACGTACTGAATACATTTGTGTTACGTAAAATGATAAGTCATTACGGAAAACTTACGTAACGCTTTTGATTTAACTGTTACGTAAGAAATAACTATCATTACGTAAACTTTGCGGAATATATGTGTATTTTACATAATAGTTGTAAAATGTCATTACGAAAGACTTACGTAATGAATGGTCCTTTTACGTAATGAAAATTGACCTTATTTTACGTAAAGTGTTAAACCATTACGTGAAACTTTGATTTACTTGTTACGTAAGAAACCATTATAGTTCCGTAGACTTTACGTAATAGATGTGTAGTTTTTTTTCTTTTTTTGGGAAACGATAATCAGATATATTGATTGTGTAAGAGATAGCTACATCCTGGAATTCAGCCAGGCCAAAAAATCAAAAATCCGACTTGTGGTCGGGTACAATCAAAGGGCTTTTTTAGCCAACAAAGGGCTACCCTATTTTTACATCGACCTACAAATCGTATACTAAGGCCACTATAAACAGCGAAGTACTGCGTGACTTCCTCGAGAATTGTTCCCATCTAGGGGTGGGCAACGGGAAACAGGTATTTGGGTATATCCGTACCTGTCCCGTTTTTAAGGGTTACGGGTACCCATATAATATTATAAACGGATGGGACTTGGGATTGTACATTCCTAATATGGGTACCCGCGGGTTATCCGCAAATACCCGTTTGGGTAATATGGGTACCCGTTTTACCCATTTGCGAACTCTAATCCATAGAAAGGGAATGTCCACTTCGCCACAAAGATGAAACTTTTCTTAGTAAAGAAACAAAGAACGCTATGTGAACATAATACTTATAGTCTGCACTCTGCAGTGACATGCAACCCTAAACTCATCCCTATCCAAGAAGTACCATAGATTATTTTCATAGTTCAAAGTAGTCATCAATCGCTACACGAACCTCAGCGGTGTATGATTCCTTAACATTGAAATTATCAGTTACATTTTTCCTTCTACCCTGCTGACAATAGCTGAATGCATGCAGGTTAGCATGTATACCACTCAATGTATGATGACTTTGTCTGGATGGAGAAGTTTGGTGACCCTAATTTTCGCAGGCACATTTCAGGTGGGTAATTTGAGGCCGAATAATGGAGAATTTCCATCTATTTTTTCAGATGGTATAAATTGTGCTCAACAGAATCATTCTATTAGATGAGGGGATACAAACAGTCCATACTGAAGCCTTACTTGGACTGAGAAACTAATACAAAACTCTCCTGAATCCGAAAGAGAAAAGTGGCCATAATGTAGTGTCAAATGCAAGCTAAACTACATGTTAATCATGCATTTCAGCCTCAAGTTTAATTTTTTTACCTACAGTTGCAAGCATTTGGGGATATCTAGCTCTCCAGTTAGCAGACAAGGAAATTTTGCCTTTTAACTATCAGTCCTATGCTGAAGAGCTTCAGGTACGACTATTTGTGCAGAACCATGGTACATCCCCGGTAACTAACTGGCTATCATGAGAAAACTTAGTATCTATGTCTTTAATCCATGTATAACAGAGAAATGCAAAGGAGTTGGAAGATCATATATCAAATCAGATAACAGTTACTCCCTTTTGTTAAATGAAACTTCTTATTTGATAATTTGGTGCTTAGAATGATTTATTTCTATGCGTTGTGATTGTTCATGATTTGTGTTGAATGAAACTTCTTATTTGACAATTTGGTGCTTAGGATGATTTATTTCTATGCGTTGTGAATGTTCATGATTTGTGTCTTGTGATTGTTAAGCAAGTACAAGTTAAGTTTAAACTTTTGTTAAAATTTGAGTGGTTTAAACTTTGGGTATTTATGGGTAGTATGGGTACCCGTTATCCGTCCCATACGGGCAATGGGTACCTGTTTCCCATATGGGTTTGGGATATGGGATGGACTTTGGCCTCCAAATGGGACTAGGCACCCGTTTAAAACGGGACGGGTATTCCGTCCCGTCCCGTTTCCCACCCCTACGCCCATCCGACTATCCCGGGTATCAGATTGATGGATCTTCTCAACTATCACTTTTGCATCACCTACAAAGCGTATCTCCGAAAATCTCAAGTTTAAACACCAAAGAATAGCCTCCCGAAGAACGAGCAGCTCCACCACCATAGGATCATCCACTGCCGGAAACTGAACCCCGCTTACCAAGAAGACCACCCCTGCCTGATCCCGGATAACCATCCCACCGGCCGAATGGGAGCCACTCCTCGTAGCCCCATCCCATTGACAAACTATTTCTGACGACTGGCCTGCAACCAATGGTTGTGGTGAAGGGGTGTGGGGCTGGACCGCATGGTCCAAAGGCAAGCTAACCATTCCTGATATTGCTTGTTGAATTGCTGCATCAGAACCGAGATCCGAAACTGCTTGCCTTCGAAGACAACCCAGTTGCGGGATCGCCAGATTCTCCAAATGACCGCAACCATCGCTAGGAAGAGATGAGGTTGAGTGAAGAGTAACATTAACTTTTTTAGGAACAGTGGGAAAGTGTGGCGAGGCATCCCCTGACCAAGATGATCAAGCCCCGAATGATCACATAAGGCCCATTGTAAAATCAAAATACAAATGTTCCATTGCTTCCGATCTAGCCCATCAAACTGGACACCGATGAAGCACAAGAACATTGTTTTCTCTGAGAACCTCTGTCGTTGGCATAATTTGATTAAAAATCTGCCAAAGAAACAATTTCAACTTAGGAGGAATGTTGGCATCCCACAAACGAATCCAACTGTTTATATCCATCCAACTAGCCATAGATCTCCATCGCCCACCCTGATGATTTAACAAAACAGCAAAATGATAGGCCGATTTAACAACAAAGACCCCATCAGGCAAACCATGCCATATCAATCTATCCCCCATCGCTTGTCGAGGGAGAGGAATAACCTTGAAATCTTGAACAGTCACCGAGTCAAAATATTGTCTAAATCGAGTATCACACCATCGACCCTCTCCCGGACACATGACCTCAGCCACCCGCATGTTCCCTCCCCCAGGCAGCATATGAGGATTATAAGTTGGGGGATGAGGTTGTAAAAGAGGAACCTAGTTAAAATTGACAAACAGAGTTGTCTGCTCATTACCAATCTGTCATTATAGACCCTTCATCAATAAGTCCCACCCATAGAGGATACTCTACCAACCCCACGACGGGCGAGATCGAGCAGTAGTAGTGAGGAAAGAGCCACGCGGAAAATATTTCCCCTTGTACACCTAGTACAAGAGGGACTGGGGATCGTTAAGGATACGCCAACTAATTTTGGTTAATAGCGCATGATTAAAGTGTTCGAAACGATGAAACACCATACCACCATCATGTGTAGTTTACGTAACCGAAGTAATTCAAAAAAAAGGTAATAAAATTTTTATAAAAAATGAAAAAGAAAAAATCAAAGTAAATGTTGATGTGGAAAAGGAAAAAAAACAGAAAAAGTTAAAAGGGAAAGTGGTGACCGGCGTTGATGGGGGTCCGTCTTTCTTTTTTGTCTCTATTTTTTTAATTAAATGGCTTAAAATGATTTTAATCTATTTTGAAGGTTTAAATCAATACAAGTTATCTAAATTAGAATCATAACCAAATTATTGTATGAGGAAACCTATAAGTGAATGTATCGTATGAAATTAAAGTGCATAATTTCAACAGCCGCAACAAGGAATAAAAAATGCTCTCGACTAATAGAGGAGGAAACCCTGCTCTAACGCCGACCCTTCTCCCTTCTGACCGGCTGCCAGACCCTTCTGGCCCCTCGACAATAGCCGATCTACTTCTGTTGATGATGGATATGGCTTCTGTCATCTCTTCTGTTATGATTATTGATTCTTCTTTTGTGTCTGTTCATCAACAGGTGAACCAGAATCTTGTGGTGATTAAGCAGCCTGCACAGGCCACTGTGAAGGGGCATCTCAACATCTCTTCTCTTATGCTAAGGCGGTCACAAGTTTGATGCTTATGGTGCCAAATCAAAACTAGACGAATCAATGGACTCTATTGGGATGTGGGGGATGATCAAGAGAACGTAATGATGAGCCAACCCTGAAGGTATCGGCAGATTTCAAGGCTACGATATGTGCAACTTGGCAAAGAACCTTAGAGATATGTCTTCTTGGCTTGAGGATTGGCTTCGCCACCCTCTGCACTCGCCTTAAAGGATAGACCATTAATTACACGTGTTTTTACCCCTATTCTTGAGCCGTTTGAGACATTGATTCACGTGTTTTAAGCCGATTTCACGCTAGGTTGTGCGTTTATGTCATATTTCAGGGCTTAGCGTTGGCATCTAGGCGAAGGAACGAGATTCGGGTCGAAAAGAGCAAGTGAGGTTTGAAGTGTGCTGGAGAGCAAAAATACCCGGCCATGAGCAGAAATACCCGGTCGGGTATTATCTGGCCATGACCGCGGATCTGACGCTTTGGGCATCTTTGAGAAACAGAAGGGGGCCCGGGCAGGAGGCAAAAATCCCCGGTCGGGGATTCTTGGCCATGACCGGGGATTCTCCCCTGTTACCCGACGGTGCGTTTTGCACATACTCGGTCGCCACCCAAAATACCCGACCGGGTATTTGGGTCGGGGATCGCGACAGACAGCTTCTAAAGGGAAAAGAAGGCTAAAAATCAATGGTTCCGAGTTTTAGAGAGATAGAGCGATTCCTAGAGAGAAAGTGACGAACCAGAGTTCCCAAGTGCCCTAGCTTGATCTTCATCGCCATTGGAGCCCGGCTTGAGCTTGGAGAAGATCCGATTGAGCGCCAGAAGCAGATTATCAGCCTTCACAGTATTGTTTCCGCATCTGAGCTAGATTTTCCATCTCTCTCTATGGAGTAGTTTTCTTATTCATCTGGGTATGGAGAACCCTAGATTTGTATGTTAGGTCTGATTGTATGAACCCAAGTACAGATTCTATGATTTGAGTATATTCAATTGAGGTTTGATTTATTGAATGGCATGAATCCTGATCAAATTCCTGTTGTTTCTGCTTTAACCTAGAAAAAGAATATCTGCCTAGGTTGATAGAGCACCCTTAATTGAAGGTAGTGAATTGGCGACTTTAGTCGAGGTGCCAATTCACTATTTTGTACAGAATTTACTTCGGTAGTGGAGGTTTGGTTCATTAGGGCCTCAATCTGTTTACTCCGGTGGAGGTTAGTCGCCCACTGGGGACTCAGATTGAGAGGGTCTGGAGACATTTAGTCGAGACTTCAGACTGCTTAAGAACCTCCCGCAGTATAACTATCATTAAAACTGAACTTGGTAAATTGCAATCCGGCTTAACTGCAGTCTAGGGGGAACCATATCCGGGTGACCTCTCTCGACTTGAAACAACCTTCTTGCTTGCTTTACTTGTTTGCTTGTTTGAACTTGCACTAAAGTTTCACCTCTAAATAATAAGAATTCGCTGAGTAGTCATCACATCTAGGACCCGGGTTGACATTAAAACCCAAACCCGCTATACTACGCCTTAGGAAATGGTTGCACTTGGCCATTTTCTAGAGTGACAGTAGGAGTGAGTCAGGCACCAACCGAAATAATTGAACTCAAGGATTTGGACCATGATTGCTTCATGGTAAAGTTGGAAAATGTACATCATATAAGGAAATAACATGTTTATCCTTAATAAAAAAAATTAGAGTGGTTGGAGAAATATTAAAAACTTTGTTGATAAATATATTTAATATGATAAATAAATTGAAAAACGACCCCTTAGTATCTGTTTTGGTCATTAAGTAGTAGAGAGACGAATGCCTAATGAAGACAATCACTTTAGACAACCCCATATAAGGAAATAACTTGTCAAATGAGAACACAACGACATGCAACTCCTTTTTCGAAGTTTTGTAATTCTCGTGGGCATCATTCAAAGTTTTGCTCGTGTAATAGATGAACTTGAAATGTTTATCTCCCCTTTGCTCTAATATGACTCCCAATGCAAAATCACTAGCATGAAAAAATTAGCTCAAATGGGAGATCTCAATTCGAAGCCAAATGTGTAAGTTTGCTCTTGAGGCTTGAGGATCTCGAATGCCATGTGTTCGTAGAAAACTAAAGGTTGCATACTTCTCAAGTACCTTAGTGAATGGTAGGTCAATCTTCAAAAAGTCTTGAATGAATCTCTTGTAAAACCCATCATGATAAATAAAAAAAAGCTCTGAATTCCTTTAATAGATGAGGAGAGGGTACCTTGCTAATCTTTTCCATCGTCAATTTGTCTACTTCAGAAAACTTTGTTATATTAATGTTTGTCTTTCTGTTTGGATTTGATTCCTTTCTTTGAAAATTTGATTCCGATGACAACCCGTTCTTGGACCATGAAGTGACGTTTTTCTCAATTAAGGGCTAGATTAGTCTCTTCATACCTTGTCAAACTCGTCTTTAGGTTGAGGAGGAAAAGGTTGAACGAATCCCCAAAGACTGAAAAATTGTCTATGAACACCTCCATTTTGTCTCTAATTAGCTTGTCAAAAATATGTATGATGTACCTTTGATACCTTGTCGATACATTGCACATACCTATAGAGATCATTCGATATACAAATGTACAAAATGGACAAGTGAAAGAGGTCTTCTCTCGATCTTTGATGGAATAGGGACCTAAAAGTAGCTGGACTTTCCATCAAAGACACAATGATAGGCGGATTATTCAAAGGGCAGAAAGAAGTCTCATTATGCATTAATGATTACTACAGAAATCTCTTCAAGAAAGGTATTGCCCCTGAGACAAACCATGTGGTTCACGCTTTGGAAAGAAAGGTCACTCCTGCTATGAATAGCAAGCTTTTAAGGGCTATTAGTACTAAAGAAATGAAATCTGCCCTTAACCAAATGGGTCCTTTTAAAGCTCCAGGGTCTGATGGTTTTTCGGTAGGTTTCTTCCAAAAAAAACGCAATACCATTGGTCCCAGAGTTGTGGAGACAATGCAGATTTTTTTAATCAGGGGGAACTCCCTATGGAGCTAAACCACACCCTCATTGCTCTCATTCCTAAGGTGAAAGTCCCTAACACAGCTAAGGATTTCAGACCTATTAGTCTGTGTCGTGTGGTCTATAAGATCATTTCTAAAGTGTTGGCAAACAGACTTAAGTTGATTTTGGATGAGCTTATCTCGGAGGAACAAAGTGCTTTTGTCTCGGGAAGGTATATTACTGATAACGTGATTGTGGCATTTGAATGTTTTCAGTTTATGAAGAGAAGAGAGAAAGATAAGGATGGTTTCTTTGCCGCAAAACTCGCCATGGCCAAAGCCTATGATCGAGTTGAGTGGGACTTCTTGGAAAAAGTGATGAAAAAGCTCGGCTTTGATGAAAGATGGATTGTTTCCTACTCGATTCTAGTGAATGGCCACAAGACTGAGAGTTTCACTCCTCGTGGACTTAGACAAGGTGATCCCTTGTCCCCTTATCTTTTTCTATTATGTGCTGAAGGCTTGTGTCTAATCCCTTGTCCCCTTATCTTTTTCTATTATGTGCTGAAGGCCTTACTATCCTAAGAAAAAAGCGGAATTGGAAGGAAAGCTTCATGGAATCTAGATTCGAAAAAAAGCTCCTACTATATCACATCTTCTTTTTGCAGATGACTGTGTCGTGTTTGGGAAATATGTTCTAAGGGAGTGTGACCAGCTTAGGGATATCTTGAATATCTATGCTAAGGAATCGGGGCAACATATTAATTTTTCTAAATCCGAGCTTTCGTTTAGTAAGAATGTGAGAATCAGCAGGAGGCTGGAGATCTGTGGTACTCTGGGCATAAAGAAGTGGATAAGCACTCCAAGTATCTTGGATTGCCTACTGTTGTGGGAAGATCGATAAAGGTTATTTTTAAGGAAATAAAAAAAAGGGTTCGTAAGAAACTTAAAGATTGGAAATGCAGGACTATGTCACAAGTGGGGAAGGAGGTCTTCATAAAAGATGCAGCCCAAGCTCAGTGTTTATACCCCATGTCTGTTTTCCAGGTCCCGGAAGGCACCCTGAATGAAATCCAAAAATTGATCTCTAACTTTTGGTGGGGACATAAGGGAAAGGAATCAAAGATTCACTAGATTGAGTGGGATGAGATGTGTGACGATAAAGAAGGTGGAGGGATGGGTTTTAGAGACTTGAGATCTTTTAATCTCGCAATGCTGTGAAAGCAGGTCTGGAATGTGCTAAATAAACCTCATTCTCTAATGGCTAGAGTTCTAAAGGCTCGTTATTTTCCAAAGACTGGCATTCTGCACGCTAAACTGGGTTATCAACCAAGTTACATTTGGAAGAGCATTATGGCTGCAAAGGAGAAAATTGCATAAGGATTCAGGTGGAGAATGGGGAATGGGGAGTCATCAGTATTTGGAAAGATGAATGGATACGAGGGAAAAGTTTCTACCATGCTGACCCTGTCCCTAACGGGGATTTCTCTGATGTTCCTATAGTACCCTTATTGATGTCAGTACTGGGGGATGGGATGAAGGAAAGCTCAAAAAGCTTTTTACTCGGGAAGATCAGATCCTCATTGCTAAGATCCCTCTCAGATCCCCTCTCGGCCCTGATACTAGAGTGTGTAAAGACTCTGACAAGGGAGCTTATTACGTGAAATCAGCCTACTATTTCATTCCAAACCATCTTCCTAGTCCTCTAAATCGTTTCTCATAGTCTCATTCCTGAGGATTCTGAGGTCTGGAAATCTATTTGGAAACTCCACATACAGCCTAAGGTTCGTATTTTTCTGTGGAAGTTTTGTAAGAACATTTTACCTGTGGGTGTTCATGTTGAGGAATGGATTGATAACGCTGCTCCTGAGTGCCCCTTCTGAAATCTCCCGAAATCTCAAATGCACCATGAGTGTGACTGGGTTCGTAGACGCTGGAGAAACTGTGACAAGAAGGATCTCTTTGAGAAGGGAGAAGGGAATTCCTGTTTCGAATGGATTAAAGAGGTTATTAAAAGCTTCCCTGAAGATAAAATCCAAAGATTCAGCTCGATATTGTGGTACCTGTGGAAAGAGCGATGTAATCACAAGTTCAACAACCGGAAGAAGGAGGAGGAGGAGGAAATAATCCCTCGAGCTTTGGGTTGGCTCTCGTCCTTCCTTGTTGCTCATGAAACCCCTTATCCAAATTCTCTTGCTGGCCCGGTTTGTGCTCACACTGTGCAGGATTATCGCTGGTCTCCTACTCCTTCAGGGTGTTTTCAAGTTGGATTCAGACGCGGGGGTGATCCAAGATCGGGGGATTGGATTGGGATGTAACATCCGTGACAGTCGAGGAGCTTTTGTTGGGGCGATGGCGAAGAAGGAGCGGGGTGTCTGTAGACTGATTGAAGCGGAAGCAAAAGCTTTGTTTATGGGTTTAAGGGAAGCGAATCGCAGATCGCTCAGTCCCCTTATTGTTGAAACAGATTAGCATGTCCTTGTGAATCTACTTAAGAAGGGAGAAGAGGATTTCACTAAGCTGGGTTTCTGGTGCTACGAGTTGAAGGAAATGGCGAAAGTGAATGAGGCTTTTTCGGGATGTGAGGTTAGGTGGGAGTTTAGGCCGAAAAAGGCCAACTCTGTGGCCCACTGGTTGGCTCACACTGGGTTGGGTTGGGATTAGCAAATTGTTTGGGTTGAAAACCCTCCTCCTTTATCTCTTTGTTGTATGATTGATGCTGCTTTGGGCCAGGGTCCCTAACCGATTAATATATATATAAATAAATAAAAAGACACAATGATAGGCATGTCCTGAGAGACGCTCTATTAATTGATCAATGAACGCCCCGTTGCATTCAAGTTGTTTAGGAGCTGAAACAATCTGCTCATTCCAAAAGCTTTCTGCTTGTTAAGTTTCAACTCCATGATTTCCACAAATAAATCCGGTTTCATAGAAAGACTTGGCACGTCAATTATTTATCTATTAGCTTCTGTGACACAGAAAAGGCCAACTGGCTATCATTAAGTTGTTTAGCTGAGTAGTTTCTCTGGAAGTGAAATGATATATAAGAGGGGATCAAAGAGAACGGTTTCCTGGTAAGAGAACAACGGTAACCAAAGTTGTCATATGCAACTTACAGCAGCGCAGAATTCAGATTACCATGTAAACTAGCCAGTTTGTTCTGTTGTTCACTGCTTTTGGTTGACGAAATATATTTATGTATATATAATTATATATTGAAAAGAAATAGAAGCATGAACTTTACGTTTCATAGAGTTTATACAACCATTCAGCCCTCCTACTGCAGAGTGCTTTCTGTATATCCATATTCATTCAACATGAATAGAGGTAAGCGCTAGAGAGAGCTCATATACCAGTATTTGATGGACATAGACAGAGACAGAGACAGAGGGAGAGAGAAACGCATATGGGGGGTTAACAAATACCGAAGATATGTACAGCCGGCCATCTAAAACAGGAGGAAGAACCGCTGAAATACGATCAGGAGCACTGCAAAATAGAAAACAATCATAAAACAATCAAGTAAGCAACCCGGGTCGAGCTTAAGCAAGATCAATGGGTTAAAAACCGACCTGAAAAGGAGTTCAACAGGGCACAAAGATTTTGTAACTTACGTCAGAATCTGAAGCTGAAGAGATGATAAAGCTTAAAGTCAACCCATTTGCCACTGCATCAAACCAACACTGATCAGTTGCCAACTAATTTCATCTCCAATGAAGAGTGAAGACAGCCAACGAGTAAGCAATCTAGACTGAGTAGGCACATGACCTTTTATCATTTCAATATACCAAAGAAGGAGACACCTTAATCTACACTCAACACCTTGTTTAATGCCTACATGCAGGAGACTTGCAGAGATGAAAAAATAAAGCGAGGAGTAGTAGATCAAACCTTCAGAACCGGTTCGCCTTTATTCTGGTTTGCAGATTGCTTTGTCATTGCCTGCAACTGTGCCTTCGCAGCCCTTCCAGCAGCAGATTTTTCAAATTCTTCTTGCCTGCAAATAACTTACCGTCAGCCAAAACAGTTTAACACCACATCAACCTCATTTCTGTATCACAAGCTGAAGCTTTGACAGTAGCAATAGTTGCTTTGTCAATCAACCTTCGCCATCATTGTAACTTTCTAGAAAGGGACAGTTAAAATTCTGATTCAGTGGCATGAACAATGCAAATATGCAATGTTCGGGATGAAGATACTCAAATCATCAGTTATCGGTTCAAGTATAGTGCTCCAAATTAGATTACGCATATGATTGAATGAACGCCCTGAGAGTTCTAATCGTCAAACCACGGTTTCAATCAGTCAATTCAATTCAATCGGTTATATCTTAAGATGACGCAGAATCAAGCAATGGACGAATTATCCTTTCACAAACCCAAATTCAGAAAATCAAACCCAACTATGTATATCCGATTACAGCAACAAAATCATCACTATCTAAAATTCTCGGGGAAACATCCAAAATCCACGGATTATCGGAGAGAATTAGAGAATCAAAAGAACAAGGCATTGATGCCGGAGACGGCAAGCGAGGGGGATAGTAAAGATGAATTCACCTTCTCTGAGCGGCTTCGGCGGCTTTGGCTCGAGCCTCCAACGAGACTCGTTCCTCTTCCTCCCGTCTCTGCTGCTTGTTCCCTCCGCCGAAACAAGCAAAGCACGATAGCGCCATTTCTCTCTCCCTCCCTCACCTCTCTCTCTCAGCCAATATTGTTCAGGCTTCGGTTTTCACAGTTTTGACCTGATTAAAGACAACTGTTCACCCGAACCTTGTTATTTATAGATTCCAGAATTACTCCTCTTTCCCGGCGCGTTCTCGCCAATGAGCTCCAGCCACGTCATTCGTCAAGGTCTCATTTGTCATTTCCGTTGTATTACCCACGTCTACGAAACGTTGCCGTAGGAGGAGTCCAATCCTATTATCTAACTCTATACCCAAGCTAAACGGTGTCGTTTAACTCGCCGTTGCCGAAAACGCTTTGTAGATAGGCCGATGTCGACTCGAGGAGCTGAGAACCGGCGACTGTTTTAGCGGAGGAAGAGGGTATCAGGAAAAAAGAAAAAGAACAATGGGCATCCCGCCGTTGGAATCGCTTCCGCCGACAAAGACTCTAGAGCTCGAGAACGGCCTTTCGCTGCTGCCACGGGTGAAGCTCGAGCTGACGGTCCATCCGACGCCGTCTTCCGTCGCGAAGCAGATCGACGAGTGGAAGCTGAAGCGCGCTCTGATGGAGTTTCTGAAGAATTCGCTCTCCGTATCAATCGAAGTCCCCGAAGAGGATCTGGAGTTCCGGCGGTTCAAGGACCTGAAGAAGCGGAAGCGCGAGGATCCCGTGGCGCACGGCACTCTATCGATTCGCGACTTAGGGTTCCTGACCAGAAAGAAGAGAGGCGATGAGGGTAAAGACGAAGATGTTAAGGAAGTGGAGAAGAAGTTTGTGGAGTGGAGAAAGTACATTGTTGAGAAATTGGATGGAATCGAGCTGAACCTGGAAGGTGATCAGTATAAGCTGAGTGTTGATGTGCCCGCGTCGGATGATTTTCAAGGGATGAAGAAGAGTTGGGAGGAGGCCTCCGCTTTTGGAAGTCGAGGTTTTGCTTTGAATTGAATGAATTTCTTCATTCATTCACCTCCACTTGCTAGCTACTACGAATTGATTTTGTTGATGAAGTTGTGTTGTGATTGTCGATCAGGGTTCTCAAGAGGAGGAAGGCAAGAACCAGATACAATTGTAGTACGAGGGGTACCATCTAGATGGTTTGCAGAGCCTAGAGTTTCTTCGAAGCCTTCGATGCTCGTTACCCATACCATTTTCTCGGCGTTTGGGAAGATCAGGTAACTCTAGCTTTCCCTATTCGTGGACGACTTCTAGTTAGGTGAATTAGGGTTTAGATGTGCTGATAGTTAAAAGCACAATGGTATTGCTCTGCATGTTCCTTTGATATCTCACTTGGAAAGTTTCAACCTCTTGATCTGCTGTGACCAATTTCTTTATTCATGGACAACCAATATTTCTGGTTAGGTGCATTATGGTTTAGATGTGCTGCTAGTTAAAAGAACAAAGGTATTGCTCTGCACGTTCCTTCGATATCTCACTTGGAAAGTTTCAATCTTTTGATCTACTGTGTCAAATTGCTTTGAGCGTGATTTAGCTGGCATATGAAAACAAAACTCTTATTGGTAAATGGAAATTGGCTATTTTTGGACCATGAGGAATAATGATTCCACTCCAACTGAACTGACCCATTTGGATGTTTCCTCTGCACATAGTATGAATTACTCGTGCTTTCTGATGAAAAATTGTTCACCTCCTTCGTGCCAAATAGGAATCTTAGTGTGGTTGAAGATAATCAAGATAAGGTTGATGATGGAATTGGTGGAGGAGACATTATTTCAGGTCTTCACTGCAAGATTGTGGTTCAGTTTGAGAAATACACAGATTTCTGCAATTCTCTTAGAGTCTTGTGTGGCCGCTCTTTGCAAAAGGTAGGAGCTCTTATCTGTGTGTGTTGTTGGTCTCTGCCCATTTGAAATTATGATGCCTGAATCTACATCTGCAACTGCCGCCATCTTTGGTTCCTTCTTTGGGTCTTCATCATTCAACTATAATATATAATATTAGTAATTTGTAACTTGTCCCGCTTGATTGGTGGGCAGTTGATGTTTACTCAGTCAGATTTAGCTAATGTATTGTTCTTCACTGGAACAGCAAGGATCCAGATTAAAGGCCGATTATGAGGTTACCTGGTCCAAAGATGGCTTCTTCCAGAATGCAAGAAATCAAGCGGTAGAAAAGAGCAGCCGAACGCCGGCGACCTTCGGCGGACATCCCAGAAACAATTTCCCCAGCAGGGTTGAACCTTACATTTCGAGGTTCAACTCCGAAGATACACGGCGCAAGAGATTTAAGGTGAGAAACCAAGCCAATTATACAATTAAAAGATCAACCCCCATTTTTGTGGTTTATCGAAGTTAGTCAACGCTGGGCCTGCTGCTGATGGAGATATTTTTTTTATTTCTTGGAATGCAGGAATAAGGATCAGGAGAGAGAGGAAGGATAGTGGAGTCTTGTTCACCAGGTTTTCCTTCTGGTATGAGAATCTATAGAATTTTCTGCTGACTTTGTTGTACAATGTATAATGGGCTTCTAGAACGTTGAAAATTTTCTGAAACCCCTTCCTTCTCTGCTGTATTCTAGTGTTTCACCAGAGTAGTAATTATGAGATAACTTGTCATTTCCAACTCCCCGAGACTTTCTGGGCAAAAAGGTTTTTGATTCCGTCGGGTGAGGCCGTCATCAGTTACGCGCTTTGCGTTCCCCTGGTCCCGAGGATTATTGGAATTAGTATTGGGACGCAAAAAACGGGGGAAAAGGTATTAAAAAAAATTCCGTTGCTCTTTATGAAGTAATCAATCTTTTCCGTAAGATGCAAGTAAGGGGACAGGAAAATTATTCAGCCTGCATGCCATTTGCGATAAGATAGTATATTTAGAAGTTAGAACATAGCTAGCAAATAATGTATTGAATGACTTGGTCTAGAATGCTGACGTATGGATGATAGAATTTGTGTAGTGTTTTCAATTTCTCTTGACTGCATTCCTTTTGTAGTTCCAATTCTAACTTTCACCTTAGAAGGTGATTGATGATACAAACGGAATTTTCGAATTTACTATTACATAGTAGCGAATGGTAAATTTGCACGGTAAATTCCCTCCGTCACCTCTGTAAATTTGGCCTTATCGGTGGCATCAGTGATGGAGAGAATGCTTTTTTATTTGTTATTTATTAAAATTGAAAAATAATAAAAGGGTACAAAAGTAATTTTATATATTAAGTTAGAACAATTTAAGCAAAAGATAAGGCGTCATTTAGTAATCCTAAGCTTATCCATAGATTTGCTACCCTGTTTTTGGACAACCAAACCATAAATTTTACCAAAATCTTGATGAGTAAGATATAGCTACACATCCAACAAGAAAACCATCCTATGCTCCTTGTGTCTTTTTTTTTTTTTTTTTTTTGCCAAAAGATATCATATATTGATCAAACCCATAGACAGTTACCCCCTGGAAACCAGCCAGGTCTGGAAATCAAAAAAGCGACTCATAGTCGGGTACAAAGAGAGGGCTTTCCTAGCTACCAAATGAGCTACCCTATTGTTATCCCGACCTACAAAACGCACACCAAAACCAGGCTGAGTACGAATATAATGAACAATCTCTTCCAGAACCGCACCCAACCGGCTATCTCTTGTATCGGCTTGATTAACTTTGTCGATAATCACCTTCGCATCGCCCTCAAAACGGACCGCCGACAACCCTTGCTCTACACACCAAATGATGGCTTCCCTAAGCACAAGCATCTCCACCACTGCTGGATTATCCAACTGAGGAAACTGGACTCCTCTAGCCAACAAGAGCATATGAGCTTGGTCAAAAAGAACCATCCCACCAGCTGAATGAGACCCACCCTTAGTAGCCCCGTCCCACATGCAAACAAACTGGGCATCACCCACTGGAACATTAGACAGTACTATTGGGGCTTGTACCATAGGTGCCTGATCCGCTGGAAGATCCATCCACTCCTCATACTGTTGGTAAAACTATCGCATTAGCGCCGGGATCTCAAATTGCTTGCCTTCAAAGACTACCCAATTGCGAGATCGCCAGATCCTCCAAAGGATTGCAACAACCGCCATAACCACAGACGGCTGATGGATCAAACCCAACAGACGCTTAAGAAACAGTGGAAAGGTATGCCGAGGCAAACCCTCTCCCAAGTACTCCAACCCAGAGTAATCCCAGAGAGCCCGCGCCACCGGGCAATAAAGGAACAGATGTTCCATCGTTTCCGGGGCGTCCCAGCAGACTGGGCACCGAGGAAGCACCTGAACCTTTTTCTCAATGAGCGCCTCCATAGTCGGCAAAGCCCGATTAAGAATTTGCCAAAGGAAAACCTTCAACTTGGGCGGGATCTTCGCCTCCCAAACTCTAATCCAACTGGGCTTATCCATCCAGCTAACCGAGGATCGCCACCCACCCCGCCTCCTGTCCAACTCAACAGCCAAATGATAAGCCGACTTCACCGAGAAGACCCCTTCAGCCGTAAAATGCCATATAAGCTTATCTGGCACATCCCAACGCGGAAGAGGGATAGCTTTGATAGCCTTACAAGTGGATGGATCAAACCATTGACTGAGCTTCTCCTCATCCCACCTCCCTCCCCCCTCACTAATAACATCTGCCACCACAGAACCACCCCCCTCTGGCAAGATACACGGATTATAGACAGGGGGATCTAATTGGCACTTTGGAATCCAGTTAGACTGCAGGAGAGGGACTGATTGCCCATTACCCACCTGCCACCTCAACCCCTTCTCCAATAACTGACGCCCATGAAGGATGCTTTGCCACCCCCAGAAGGGCCGAGACCTAGCCGTCGCGGTCAGGAAAGAACCTCGAGGGAAATACTTGCCTTTATAGATATGGGCAATAAGCGATTGGGGCTCATTGAGAATACGCCAGCCTATCTTAGCCAAGAGAGCTTGATTGAACTGCTCGAAACGGCGGAATCCCATTCCCCCCTCATGCTTACTCCTGCACATATTCCGCCAGGACACCCATCGAATCTTCGGAATGCCCTCCTCAGCACCCCACCAAAAACGGGCCACATACTTATCTAAAAGACGACACAGAACCAGGGGAAGACGGAAACAGGACATGACATGAAGGGGGAGAGCCAGAGCTATGGTTTTAATCAACGTTTCCTTAGCCGCCCATGACAAAGTCCTCTGCTTCCACCCCTGAAGTCTCTCTAGGAGCTTTTCCTCAAAAAATCTGAAAGTAGCCGTTTTGGATCGAGCAAACAGCGTAGGAAGCCCCAGATATTTATCATGGACCCCCACTGCACCCACCCCCAGAATCGTGGCCAAGAATTCCTGATCTGGTATGGACACATTCTTGCTAAAACACACTGCCGACTTCTCCAAATTAACTCGTTGACCACTGAGTTCCTCATATTCATTTAACACCACAAGTAAATTCTCACACTCCTGCAGAGAACCTCTCAAAAACAAATAAGAATCATCCGCAAAGAACAGATGAGAGATTCTCGGAGCACTAGGAGCAACTTTCACCCCCTCTAACTTTTTCTCTGTGATCGCCTTTCGAAGGAGGGCTGCAAACCCCTCAGTGCAGAGCACAAACAAAAGAGGGGAAAAAGGATCCCCCTGACGAAGGCCCCTAGAAGCCGTGAAATACCCCGAGGGAGAACCATTCATTAGAACCGAGAAAGAGGAGGAACGAAGACACTCATGAATCCATCCTCGCCAGACAGAACTAAAACCCATTTTCTCCAAAACAGCAAGCAGGAAGGGCCACTCGACTCTATCATAGGCCTTTTCCATATCAACCTTCAGAGCCATGTACCCTTTCTTCCCTTGCCTTTTTATTTTCAAATAGTGCATTAGTTCATGTCCAATAAGGATGTTATCAATGATCTGCCGGTCCCTGATGAAACCATTTTGTCCCTCCGAAACAATCTGAGGGAGCATGCTAGCCAGCCGCTCAGCCATAATCTTGGTAATTACTTTGTAGACAAATTGGCACAGACTAATCGGCCGCAATTGTCTAATAGTTTCCACCGAGTCCACTTTAGGTATTAATGTGAGCCAGGTATGATTAAAAATCCGCAACATCCGACTTGAATTAAAGAAGGACACTACTGCCTCAACCACTGAAATGCCCACAATATCCCAGAAAGCTTTAAAGAACTTCCCAGTGAAGCCATCCGATCCCGGGGCCTGCTTCGAACCCATGGAAAACACCGTACTCCGGACCTCACCAGCCAAAACCTCCACCGTCAACTGAGCATTCATTTGCGGAGTAACACGATTGTCAATCGGCAGAGTCGCCACCCTCTCAATCATATTAAGAACCTGAGTTTCCGAAGTAAACAAGTTCTGGTAAAAATTGGTGGCAATAGAAGCCTTCCCGGTTTCCTCAGTGACCCATTCACCCTCCTCATTCCGAAGCCCAGCAACAAAATTCTTCTTCCGCCGAGCCCTGGTGACCGTATGGAAGTAGGCCGAGTTTTGATCCCCTTTTTTTAACCATTTAACCCTGGACTTCTGTTGCCAGAAAACTTCCTCCGCTTCCCACTGGCGGGAGAGCTCTGCTTCCAGGGTCCTAACCATATCCCAATCCACCGGATGGATCAATTTGACCCTATCAATCTCCGCCTGAAGCGTCTTGATATTACGGAGGGAATTAGTAGTACCCGCCCTACTCCAATCATAGAGTAGATGCCGAAGCCTCTTTAGGCGTTCCCAAAGTCGAGACATAGGGGTGCCTTGGACGTCTTCCTGCCAGACATAGTTGACCATGGCCCTCACCTCCGGATTGTCCGCCCAACGGGCATCAAACCGGAAAAGAGGCCGGCTAGTACGAACATATGGTTTATCAGCAAGGAGTAAGGCACGATGGTCCGATCCCTGATCCGTGAAATGTTTGACTAGAGTCTCCGGGTAAGTATCTATCCAAGACTGAGAGCAAACTGCTCTATCCAGCCGTGCCCGAATGCAAGCATTACCCATTCGCTTATTTGTCCATGTGAATAAGTCTCCTTGATAACCAGGGTCATGTAGACCCAAATCATGAACAAATTCGCGGAGACTAAAAGCTTGGGACGCACTCCACTCCCGCCCCCCATCCTTTTCACTCGCGTGCAGAGTAGTATTGAAATTGCCTATGATCACATACGGATGGTTGATATTTGCACACATATTACGCAGGTGCGCCAATTGGGTAGCTCGAACAGCAACATTACAACTAATGTAAACGAAAATCACAACATAAGAAAAATCTCCTTCATTAATTTGCGAACAAACATAGAAACTAGAATGATAAAGCACCAAAGTGTCAACCCGGGGGGCCCAAGCAACTACTAACCCTCCCGATGCATCGACTGCATCTACAAAAAACAATGCGAAAGCGGGAAACCTAAACCCCGCATACGACGAGACACTACACGCCGGTTCGATCGCGTTTCCGAAAAAAACACGAGATCCGGTTTATTCGAATGAACCAACCCTACAGCAGTTTGGAAAGTGACGGATGGCCCAATTCCTCTCACATTCCAGGCCAGAAGCCTCATTTATCAACTGGGGGCCACTCGAGGCTGGCTTCCTCCACCTTCTCCAGAACATCGGTTGTTTCCACAAATTGCTTCTTTGGGGTAGGAGGATCACCCAACTACCCTTCCAAATCATCAATAGCACGCTTCCGGGTGTCCACCGCTGGGTCCATGAGATTAGACCCATATTCATTAAGCGTCGAGCGAGTCCCCGTGATAGGGATCTCCTCTTCTTGAGCAAAGACCAACCCAGCTTCAAATGCCTCAACCACTTGGTGGACTCGCCCAGACAAGATTCGACGAGTCTCCTTGGATGCCCCACCTGGTGATCTTCTCTTAATCTCAAACGGAAGCTGTTCATCATTCGATTGATCATCCTCCGATTCCATGACCAGCCGCCGACCCTCATCATCCCGAGAGACCTCAACCTCCTCATCTTCCAACTCCTGCGTGTCACCATATTGTGACGCACCCCCATCCTTCTTTGACTTAGCCCGCCTGACCTCCACCCCTCCCTTTTTCAATCGTGGGCGAACCCGCTGATCAGACTGTGCACCTTTCACATCAGCCTCCTCCTCCTCTTCTGATTCTTCCTGCAAAATCAGCCTTCTCTTCCGAGTTTCCTCAAAAACCTGCTCAACCTGATCCTCCGTCTGCTGGCGATTGCCCACCTTTCTAGCCTGCCTACCCATCTGCTGACGACCCTTGGAGCTCTTCTTGGGTAAAGGCCCATTCTCTCTGGGCGCCACTTTCTTTTGGTGTAGGCGAACCCCACCACCAATCTTGACTCGAGATGGTGCCTTGACGACAACCTTTTTAGGGCTAGCACGATTACCTACAAGCTTAGGTTTAGCCTCCTGCACCCGCGGTTGCGGCTCCATGCAGCCATGATCCTCCTGCTGACGAGCAGTCTGATCAATAGAGCGATCAATAGATACTGGTCGTATCTCACGAGGTCGAGCATTCCTTGCATACCCTTCTTTCTGCACTTGAACATTCCTGTTAACCCACACTGATTTACTGGTATGGTGAGGTTTTGGCAGCTCCTCCTCATCCATATAGATCTTCCTTCCTAACTTCCTTGTCGACATATGTGGGCCGAACCGTTCTTGACCAGACGGAGGATCAAACACACAATCTGGCTTGGAATGTCCCACCCGGCCACAGAGGTAGCAGAAAGTCGGCAGAAATTCATATTTGAAGTTAACCCAGAATTTGCCCAGCTCTTGACTAACTGCCATAAGTTGTGACCGCAACGGTTTCGTGAAATTGATGAGGGCATGAACTTTCACAAAGCATTCCTCTGTTTCTCTGGATGCAAAAACATCAGCCTCCAGGACTTGGCCGATCGTCCCCGCAGCAATTTTCCTACCAAACTGTTTGGTACAGCAATCCTCTTTCACATTCCATATTTGAACACGGAAGGGAGCAGTGGCCAGATCATCAAAAACCGGCCTCGTGATAGCTGCAGTCCAAGACCGAAGATGTAAAATTCTGTCTTTGACAATCCAAGGAGAACGCTTGAGGATCCAGACACTCGTCTCCTCACTAGGCAGAACAATTTCAAACAGGCCATATTTAGTGGCTGAAACCCTTAGGTTTCCTTGCACCCGCCAGGCCTCGATCAAGCCCTCACGCAACTCACTAGGAGTAAACTTGTTCTCCGAGAATACTCTTCCCAGCAATGTCCGTGATGTGCGAAACTTTACTGATTGGACCTCATCAAGAGAGAATTCCACTATTTGATCCTCCACAATACGAGCCATCGTGGGTACCTGACACAAATTAGACCCCGGCGTATTAGACTCAATAAACTCTACCGAAGTAAAAGCAACATTATTAAACAGATTTAGCCATGGTATGGGCCTGGCCACTTTCAGCCCAAAAGCCTCAACATACACCGCCCCTAGGTCGATGCGAACAGCCAAAGCTGTCGGAAACCCGCTAGGAGAGATTTCCGCCTCGGCCGGCCGTGGAAAACAAACCCAGGGGGCAAGGCTACTGGACGATGAGCTGGCGGTCAGGCTACCATCGGGCCGATCGAAACTCTCCAGGCCCAGGGGAAACCCGTTCTGCTTCACCAACAGAGGCTGCAGATTAACCGCCGTCCAAGGAAAGCTGACCGTCGCACCAACAGAGCACTTTGGAATCAGAGAGAAGCAAGAGGAAGAAGGAGGAAAAACCCCCGTACCTGCTTGATTCGCGGGAAGAGAGGGGTCTCCAAAGTCGCTATCGGCCCTGGAAAACTCTCTGCTATCAGCGCTGGAAGCCTCTCTGCGTCTGTCACAAATTCTAGGATTTGGGGCGAGGGCAGCATCTGTTTTATAGAGGATCGAAACCTTCTTCGCTACGAAAAGAGAGAATCCCAGATAACTGTTGGCAGTTAGAGTTGGGAAGGGATTAGGCTTTCTCTGTTGAACCGAGGGTACCCTTCCCCCAATTCGGATTCGAATCCCAGGAAATCCGCCCAACCGCCCGAGTAATCCGCCCAAACCAAATTCCGACCCCCTCGCGGCAAACCGCGTCTGATCACATTGCCGGCGGGACTCTCCCCTGGCCGGATGTACGTTCTTATCGTCTCCGGTGACAGTGGGTGTCGGACGCAGGACGTTGTAATCATCACTCTCCCAGACCCTTTTTATGCCACCGATATCCTGTCCGAGGAGAGTCTTCAATGAACCCCATTGTACCCAGTCCTCTAATTTTCTTGGCCGGGAGGAATCCATTGCTACACAAGGTTTAATTCTTAATTCTAGCACCGTCAATGGCACCATGGGAAATATCCCATCCCCTAAGGGATTATCCAGTCGATTACTTGAAGAAAGGGTCTTTTTTGGTACCCGAGAGGGCTGAGCCCTGCACCCCGCGAACAGGGGAAAATCACCCTCATCTTCATCCAATTCCGATGAGAGGGGGAGACTGAATCTCCAGAAACTCTGAGGCTTTAATCTGCCCCGCTTGACTGGTCGTTCTTCACCAGCTTTCGCTTCACCAAAAGCCAATTGGCTCGATCTCTTCTTAAGGCGGTTTCTTTTCGCTCGCCGCCGACCAATTGCCTCCAGGTCGCCCTTCAATAAGGAGACCGCCGATACTGGGTTAGGTCCCCATAGCCTGCACTTGATTGATTCATCGCCATACATCTCTGGCGATCCTTCCGACGAAGAGCATCCCTGATTTCTCATACTGGCCTCAAGGATGGACACCGCGAAACGCAAGATCCACCTCCCCACCGCAGCGGCGAGAAGGAATAGAGAAGGCAGAGAGACTCTCATTCCGCCCTCGACTCCTAATTATTCTTTTCACCAACAATAAGTGAGAAACCATCCACGACCCAAGAAAACCCCCAAACATAACACAAACTCAACCCTACCATACAACAAAGCAACAATAATGCTATAAGGTTTGTTCTTCTATATGGTCCATTGCAATTTCGTCATCGTGAGTCAGTCGTCACCATATCTCGAACTATAGATTTTTTTTTATTTGTATCATTTAAAATCAAATTTTTGGATTACCTTATTTCATGCAAATCATTTACCTATAACTATCCAATATCCTTATGAAAAAATAATTACAATTGAGCATGTTTGATATGTGAGGAAAGAAAATATGAGATATCAAAAACACTTGTTTGTTCAGCGTTTGACTCTCTTTTTTTGCTTATATTTCATTTCACCCATTCCTCTTTCTTCTACTACCTACACATTATCGGACGTCCTACTACTTTTCACATGTCAAAGGTGAAAGCTCCCCATCGAGTTCTGACTTGTTGCCCTTAACAACCGGGTCAAGGGTCTTGGGCGTGTTTTCTCACGACCCAAAAGTCGCCAACCCCCAAGCTCCCTCCAAATCTGCGATATCCACCATTCCAGATCCGCATCCATCAATCCCTGTCTCCTTATAATCCTCATGATATGCACGCACGATCTTAAGTTTACTGTTCTTCCACTTGAGATTCCTAAACATTACACAACAAACCCTGGGCTGTATTTGGGCCGCCTCACGTTAGAATGCCATTATCATCATATTGCTATTGCTACTAAGTCAACCACTCGCATATTATTTGCTGTTACAATTTTGTAACGCATCGAATGTATCCAATGCGTACTGTTACGTTGATTGCACCAAAAGAAAACTTTACTAGCACGCCGAATTAAATCATATTCATATTGGCTTAATAACAATACGGAGATGAGAATATTCTATCACACTCTAAGTTCGAACTTGGAGATCGACGAAAAATAATTTTTAACTTGCTGAAACCAAAATACCAGATGGATAACCTCTCCAAAAGATCGCCGTCGGCTGGTGGGAGAAGTGATGGCCTACCTGTCTGTCTGTCTGTCAGCTAGTATATCAATTCTTGAATTTGTCACGAGATTCATGACATATATACATACATGTATAGGCATAATAACATACTAATTGTTAATTGATATAATTTACATTGCGTATCAACAATTCCAAACGGGTTCGAAGTTTGAACCCTTCCATCCCGACTCCTGGCAAAACACCAAAAAGAACGAAAGAACAAAAAGAAAAAAAAATGTCTTCATCTGTTTGTTGTTTTTTACATGGAACCAAACAGAAATCAGAACTCTGAGAAAATTCAACTTCCCAACTGCAAAGAAGGAAAACAAAAAATTCAAATCAAAGGGAACCGAACGATCAACAAAAACGAGGACGATCAGATTCGAATTTTCAGAAGCTCTTCCTGTGCTTTAATTCTTTCCGCGGCGGCGATCCAGCTGGCGGCGTAGCCGTCCCCTCGTTGACCGTCTTGATCTCGCTGAATTTCCTCGTGTACTCCTTCCTCTTAACGTTGCCGCTCTTCGGAGAAGTGGCCGTCGACGCCGACGCCGAACTTATTCCTCCGTGATCGGTTGCCGTAGCTCTCGGTCCACTCAATTTCCTGACATATTCCTTCTTCTTCTTCTCCTCCGGCCGCTTCGAAGTCAGAGTCGGAACCAAATACCACCCGATCGAAGTGCACAGAATCGCAACCGACCTCCCGAAAACCGCCAGAAACAGCAGAATCAGAATCACCGCCACGGGGACATAAACAGACGGCCGTCGCCACGACCGACGGAAGATCGAAATCAATCTCCTCGCGTCGCCGCCGCTCCCTGTCACCGCAGCGCAAAAATCAACCGATTCCTCGACGATTTCCCCTACCGCTGGCAACTTGTGCTGCTGATCGGGAGTTGAATTAGTCACGGCTTGCTCCGCCGCGGCCGTGGAAGCTGTTGAATTACTGTGCTTCAAATTCCTATGGTTGTGATTGTGATGAGGATGATCCTTGAGCTCTGTCGATTTCGAGGGTTTCGGATCTCGAATCTTGATGACGACGGGGACGGCGTCGCTGGTGGCGCCGGGGAAGACGAAGCGAACGAGAGGCGGATCCTGAGAGCTCATGGTGGAGTAGATCTCCCGCCGCTTCTCGGCCAGATCGGAGAGGAGCTGCGAGAATTTGTCGAGGCCGCGGCCGGAGTACGGGTTGTTGTTGCTGTTGTTCCTGCCGCCCCGCCGGCCGCCCCATGGCTTCCTCGGCGAGGGGGACGACGAAGCGGCGCCGCAAGGGAGGTCGTCTTCGTCGGTCTGGAAGCTTGCTCCGCAAATCAATGGACTCAGCATCAGGAAAAACGTTTTTTCGTTTGTTTGGTGATTGGGTTTGTGTATTGAGGGGAAAGATAGGGTGCTGGGTTGAGGAGGATTGTGATTTATAAATGGGGGAGAGTGGATTCATTTCCACGGTTTCTTCCTCATCTTTTGTTTACGCGGTCAAACAATTATTTGAAAATTAGTGAGGGAAAATTATTTATAAATAAGAAAAAGGTGAAAGGGGGGATTATTACGGCAGACTGATAGGCGGTTTAATGGATGAAAATATAATGAGCAGAAGCTTCTATGTTGATTTTGTGGAGTCTTGAGTTTGACTTTCTTGGGGAGGACGAAACAGATCGCAGTGTCAGGCATCTGTGACATGTGACACCATTTAATAGTATGACTACTATCAATCTGGTATGGATGGGTATAAGCACATTTCTTGGATATACACAGTAATATGGTAAATCATCATCACTTTGTATATTCAATGCTTCTAGATTGTAAGATGTGTTGGTACCGTCAATGACGTAGTTAGGATTTCACTTAATATAGGTTTCATTTCGAAATTAAAATAAATAAAATAAATTTTATTAAGATTTAAATGACGTGACATTTTTCCGTAGTTTTTTCGTTTGAGGATAGAAAATTCGATACTAAACTAGGAATTAGTAAACTCAGAATAAGCAATCAGTAAACATATTATAATGAAAAATATTAGGTTATTTATATAAATGGAAGGTTAATGTGTGTAAAAAACCTCGAGAGTTTATTGGTGGACGAGTAAACCATAAATCTGTAGCACTGGGATCGAGTATTATGAATTGTGTACAAGTTTTATTATTTTTTTAGTGTCCTAATCTAGAGTCAAGATGAGTCTCGAAACCAACCCTATCATGAGGTGGCTCTGCCACCGGGTGCAACACATTAAGCACCTAGATGCATTAAGAAAACTTATATTTTCTAAAAAAATAATTATTATAAAAAATTATTTTATATTTCCAAAACAGGTTTTTGCAGGAAATTCAAATAGAATCTTATGCTTATAAATTATATAAAAAGAAGTCTTTCTCGCTTTTTTCTAAAATCATACTTATAGAAGTGTTTGGCAATTTCAACTAGCAGTTTGATTAAAGTGCTTAAGCTTTAATAAATCATCCTCCTATGCTCTCGAAAACACGAAACATTAACTATGTAAAAACGAAAAATTGTCTAACTCATTTGGGTTGTCTGGGTGAAAAAGTATCCAATCAAGCACAAGACTATTTGGGACGTTCAGTCTACCTCGGTTGGCTCTTGGAATTGGCGAAGGATTCTGAAGAGTCGTGTTGTGATAATATATCACCTTTCATATCAGGTATGACGTATGAGTTCTTCTCTTCTATGGAATGGGAACTTGATGTGCAGATACTCACTCTCTACAGTCTCGAACTCACTCAGGAAAACCTATCCAGCAATTGCGTAGTGCCATGTTGTTTGGGGGAAACCTCTAATTCCAAAGCAGAGTGTTTTGACTTGGTTGATTGTAATGGATAGAATTATTACCAAGGGTAAAATGGTTGCTTGGAAGGTAATTGATGAGGCAAACTGTCTATTATGTCCAGGAGGAATTGAGTCCAGAAACCACCTGTTTGGGCCCTGTTTTTACTCATCCTGATCCTGGGTATAGACTACAGTTTTGAAGTCTATTTGTTCTCCACCTCAGTTTGCATATTGGGGGATGCACTTAACTTGTAGTACTCAGGCTTGGAAAGGTTCGAGTGATAAGGTGGTGATTGGAAGGTTAATGTGGATTGTAACCTTAGCTTAGTTTGGCCCTGCGGTAGATTTTGCAGAAGCAGCTTCTGGTTGGAGCTTTTAGATAAGTACTTTTAAAAAAAAGCAGTTGAGTGTTTGGTTGTAAAACTATTAGAAGTGCTTTTTAATATTAGAGGTTGTGTAAAATGACTATAAAGGACTTATAATATAAAATATGAATAAAAATTCTAAACAATAAAAAGTAGTCAAAATAGATCTAGTTAGATTTCTTTAATATTAAATAATATGATTTTATAATCTATTTTATTTTTAAAATAATATAAATGAAGGAAAATTATATTTTCTGAAATAAAATTAAAATATGGTAAGGATAATCTTGTATTTTCAAAACAACTTTTCGCAGAAGATCCAAATCGGAGCTTCTGCTTTTATGTTATACAAAAGCGTTTTTCGGCTTTTCAAAAGCCAAGCTTTTACAGGTGTTTGGCCCTGTTTCAGCTTTTGAACCCGAAAAACACTTCTAAAAGTCGGGCCAAACATAGGGCTTGAGTTTTATATGGAGGGAGAGATGCTCTAGGATGTATGGGACCCGTGATTGTAACTCGCCTCGGCAGATAGTCACCAGTATTTAGAATGAATGTAGACTGATGGCAGAAGGGAACCCATAAGTTGAAGGGCGAATGAGAGGTTTAGGGATATTACTTTAGTTTATGTTTTTCTGGTTTTTGATGAGTTTGGAGGTTTATTGTGATGTAAGAAACTTGAGAGGAGGTTATGCTCTTGCATACTCTAGAGCTTAATGCATTTTTTTTATTAACCTTAAAAAAATCAGGTTTATAGAAGGACTTGATGATCAACTTGAATTTTTGAAACAGAATAAACACTTCTGAAAATCGGGCCAAACATTGGCACCATGTTAGTAGTATTGTAGTATATTATAAAAAAAAATTCATTCTTTTCGATATTGTAGGACATTAGCAATTTGATTAGAATGCTTAAGGTGCTTTTATAAGCATCCTCCTATGTTCTCGAAAACACGGAACATTAACTATGTAAAAACTAGGGGTGGCTATACGGTCCGGTCCGGTTAAATTGGTCCAAATTGATCCAGTCCAGTCTGGTCTTTTTGAAAATATAAGGACCAAAGATTGGATTGGATACAATCCGGTCTTGATCCGGTCCGGTCTTGACCCCGGTCCGGTCCCAATTCGGTCTTGATTTTATATTGAGCTTGTGGGGATTTGAGTGGCCTAAGGCCTGAAAGGGTGAGGAATTGGTTAGGTTTTGTACCTAGTGCAAAGGTTTGTATCCATTTATACAAATTACCCTTGAGTTTTGGGTGTTGAGCTCTCTTGTCCGGTCTTTATCCAATTTTTGATCCGGTCCCAAACGGTTTTTTTACCTCAAATCTAAGCCCTAAGATTGGATTGGATTGTTTACTATCCGGTCTCGGTCCGGATTATACGGTCCGGTTTCGGGTAAAATAAAAAAACTCGGACCAAATAGCCAGCCCTAGTAAAAACTGTCTGACTCATGCATCTAACCGCTTCAGCTGTATTTATTTTTATCTTTACTGCCTTTCTACTGGACAATTGGTAAATTAGTGGTAATGGTGAGAAAGTGTCTATTCCAAGGAAATAAAATAGTGGTTAAAATGGGTTTTGTATTTTCCTTGTTGGTTCTGTTCCGTTGTATCCTGGGAAATTTGGCAGGATTAGGTGGGTTCTGGATTTAATTAAGAAGATAATTGAATGGGTCGCCCTAATTAAGTCAATAGAAATTGGTTGGTTCGGCAGAAGTGCGTATGTTTGGCTGAGCTCAGAAATTCAATTTGTTTGTGATTAGATATTTGAAAGGAAGGTTGTTTGGATTTACATTACACAAACAAATAATTAAAAGAATAACCGGCAGAGAAGAGATAATAGATGATTTGAGCCGGCACCTCTACTCCTGAGTCCTGACTCAGACCCCTTGTTTTGGAACTATCTTCAGTTTCCAAAGCTGGGATTTGGGGAATCTAAAAATCTTCCTCTTGCAAATTAATCAAATATCAAGACTGTTTTGTTGTTCATTAACAAGTTAACAGTCATCTTTTAGGATGAGAATCGGGCCGCGTTGGAGCATTTTTTGTGGACTTTTTTTCACAGAGATGCTTTGGTTTTGCTCATATGTAATAAAAAAAGAGTGATAATGTAAATTGTGTTTCATATTCGCAAATCCAATTCAATAAAATATATCAAGAAATTTAACAAGCAGATAATAGTTTGGTTCAAGTCCATAAAAAACTAATTTCATGATAAATCCATGGTTGTTATGAAACTAATGAAAATATAAACAACTACATGAGAAGATTAGTGAGGGAAAGACACAAGAGAAGAGAGGGGAAGAGTTCTTCTTATTCCTTCTTCACTTTTCATACAATGGTGTGCTATATTTATAGGCACACTTTGGTAACCACTACATCTTTATATCAATGCATATGAATGAGAGATAATGATGTAGAAATATGGGTTACATGTAACTCACAAGTGAGCATCTAATGTGGTAGGTCATTGGTCATCCATATATCATTATTTACATAATACTCCCCCTTGGATGACCACTAGATTGCATTACGCTATCTCATACTGCCTCGTTAAAAACCTTACCTTGAAAACCCAGTGGGAAAAAACCGTGGTTAAGGGAAAAAGAGTGCTGTGCGTATATGCTCCCCCCTCGTGACCACATCACTTCAAATCTTTGAGTCGTTGAACTCAAATTTCACGAACAAATTTTAGAAAGATTGTTGCCGGGAGTTAGTTAGTGAACAATCTTCAAGATTATCAATCTTATGCATGATCTTTAGATTTTCTTTATCCATGATCGTCAGGATCATTTCCTTTAGAAATAGTTTACAACCACAAGTACTTCAGATATGATGGCCGTGGATCACAAAGTGTAACGAAAGACATTCAGGACTTGCCCATTATAGTTTGTTTTGTTTCTTTATGAAACATTTATATCACCATATGTAAGAGATAGCTCGTCTCTGATCAACCAATATGAGGATCAAATGATATATATGATTTGGATATATATTATACCAAATCTCTCTTTGATAATACCATAATAGAACAATCACATATATTGTTCCCAGAGGTAACAAAGTATTTTCCAACATTCTAATGAGGGAAACATTGTATCTTGCCAATATTATCAACACCAAAATATAGTTTATATGGTGTTTGGCTAGCAAGGTGCATTGGTGCTCTAATGCATCAATATATGGTACTTCAGGTCCTAATGTTTCACTTCTTTCTTGATTGGATCCGGTGCTTAAGCCTATAAGTTTAAGCA